ATTTGTAGTAGATTGTTGTCGGATTTCAAGACTAACAGCGGTGTTATCGCTTGTTCCAGACCGAGAGAGAGAGATAGAGAGAGATATAGAGAGAGATAGAAAAATAAAGAGAGAGAGAGTGTGGAAGAGAGAGAGAAAGAGAGAGAGAAAGAGAGAGAGAAAAGGGAGTCTTCGATGGAACAAAGTACAGTAGAACAAATAACGATATCTTTGATCCTGTGCCGAAAAGTTAGTTGGCGGGATATCATCGTCAGGTGTCGTTATCGTCGTCGTTCATCCTTGATCTCCCAAAGAGGAGTAAGATAAACGATAGTGAAAAGGATTTCAAAGACATCTTGTCAAAGATGAGAAAACAGGCGACGATATCTTTAAGAGAAGGGAAGAAAGTAAGTACGGCGATTCCAACAACCTGACGACTCTTGTAGCCAACCCTGACGACTAACCAGGACGAAGCCAAAGGCAGAGGCAGGCAGGTTAACGGATCCGCAGGAGAATAAGGAAGAAGTTGCGGATGAACGAAAGATGAACAAGAGCGAAGGTTATCTGCTAGAGTGGGAAGAAGAGGCAGAAGCAGCAAGGGAACCTAGCGGCGAATTAAATCGAAGTTTTTACAACGCAAGTCGTGACGGTGGCGGTGGCAATCGTAGTTACGAAGATTTGTGGGAATTGACGAGCGATCGTGCCGGACTAGCCGTGTTATTATTTTTATTTTCCGTGGCTACAGTATTCGGTAACAGTCTAGTAATCCTAGCAGTCTTCAGAGAAAGATATCTTCACACGGCGACGAATTATTTCGTAACGTCGTTGGCATTTGCAGATTGTTTGGTCGGGCTAGTAGTCATGCCGTTCAGTGCGATTTACGAAGTATTAGAAAATCGATGGCTTTTTACGACCGATTGGTGCGACGTATGGCGTTCACTCGACGTATTATTTTCGACGGCCTCGATCTTGAACCTATGTGTTATCAGTTTGGATCGTTATTGGGCCATAACCGATCCATTTACCTACCCGATGAGGATGACTAGAAAACGTGCAGCGATATTGATCGCTATAGTTTGGATTTGTTCTAGCGCGATATCATTTCCAGCTATAGCTTGGTGGAGAGCAGTAAGGACGGAAGAAGTACCGGAAGACAAGTGTCCGTTTACAGAAAATCTCGGCTATTTGATATTTTCGTCGACGATTAGCTTTTATTTACCGCTATTCGTAATGGTATTTACCTATTATAGGATTTATCGAGCGGCGGTGATACAAACGAGGAGTCTCAAATTGGGAACGAAACAAGTTATAATGGCCTCCGGTGAGCTAGAACTTACTCTTAGGATACATCGTGGTGGTGGTGGTGCTAGTGGTGGTGGCGGAGGTGTTAATACTAGTGGAGCCAGTACGAACGTAGATCCAAGACATCTATTTCGTACGGCCTCGAGTACCCCGGAAGATCTTCAAGATCTCGAGGAACCTCTTACCGCACTTCACAACAATGGATTGACCAGAATACCTTCAACTAGGATCAACAATAAACAACATCTAGGAAAAAACTTTTCGTTGTCGCGCAAACTAGCAAAATTTGCTAAAGAAAAGAAAGCCGCAAAAACACTTGGCATTGTTATGGGTGTCTTTATCGTTTGCTGGTTACCCTTCTTTGTGGTGAATCTATGGTCGGGTTTTTGCGCCAGGTGTATCTGGCAAGAGGAGATTGTTTCTGCTGCTGTCACGTGGCTTGGTTGGATCAACAGTGGCATGAACCCAGTTATATACGCTTGCTGGAGCAGGGATTTTCGGAGGTAAGTCGTTCCTTGCTCAAGGCAAATCCCTTCCCTTCCCTTCCCTTCCCTTCCCTTTTTACCTCTTACCCTTCTTGTCCGAATCATCATCATCATCATCATCATCCCCCGTTCTGCCGACGACCTTATTACACTCTCGGCATTGTCCTTTTTTTAAGATTATTTCTTTGAAAGCTTCACTGCGACCCTCCTCGCATAATCGGTTTTTCCTTATTCTCCTTAGTCCCTATAGAACGTGGCCACCCCGTACAATCGCTCGTCTCTTACCTTTTATTACTTCATTTTTATCTCTTTTTAGAGATTACTCTTTAATCATTTGCCACGAATACGACTTTGGAAATTTTATCAATTATTATACCTGTTATGTCACTCATCTAACTTTGATATTTGTCATCTTTTTGAAACTTGAAATAATAATGAGTTACTCGTTTGGGGTAATTTCGTAGTAAAATAATTTAATGAAATTTTAAATTATTTCAATTTTAAGAAATAAAATAGATTTGTAATTTTACCAAAAAAAAAAAAAAAATAGGACAAATTTTATACAAGTTTCTTCGAAATTCGTTCTAAATAAATTTTGATTTTCTTTATCATTAATGTTATATATATATATATATATATATATATATATATATATATATTTATGTAATAAAAGGTAACACGCGAAAATGCTTTCAAGTGGATAAAGTGTACGCGATTAGTGTGTAGATACTTAT